AATTTTTGTTAATTTTATCAATTTTTTTTCCTTAAGACTATTTAAATAGTTAATAGGATTTGGATACGTATTAGTGCGTGATTTTTTACTTTGGTTTGTAATTTTTTTTCTTGATTTAAAAATTGCACATATTAAGTTAGTTAATATCGTTTTATGTTATGATAATAATGTCATGTGTTTTATATTCAACTGGCTGGTACATTTATTATTTTGATTTAATTTTGTCTTTTTTAAAATAAAATATTTTTGTTTTTTTTTTAAATTGAAACCAAATTTAATTTTTAGTAAAACATTACAGTGATATCTTTGTTAAAATTCATTTTTATAGTATAATTATTAGATTTATGTAATTCTTCATTGTGTTAAAAAGACAGGATTAATTAGAGTTAAGAAGAAAACTTTTTCGTTATTTGTAAATCAACCATAATCCTATTTTTAACTTACAGTAAAAACAAAACATAAATCTAATAATTATGTTATAATAGTATAACTATTGATTTAAAAATATTTAATAAAAATGTGAATTTTAATAAAAATATCGTTATAGTATTTATATAAAAGTTAAATTTGGTTTTAATTTGGAAAGTAATAAAATTGTTACATTGCGTTTGAAAAAAAAGAGACTGAATTCAATAAAAAATAATAAATCTTAATTGAATATAAGACATTGTTGACACTAGGTAGATTTATAAGATACACTTAATATTCTAATTAAGAATATTAATATGCATTTGGAGTAATTATAAGATTTTAAGAGGTTCAATGCATTACATCATTGAATATATGGATTTCCCGTTGTACTATAAGGGTACAGTGATGTTAACTGAATCTCTGATTCAGACGAGATAAAGTTCATTACTGGTTATCTATTCAAAATTGGGAATGGTGTGATTACATGGAGATAAGTCTGATAAACAATTATTGCAATATCAACAATGAAATCTGAGTTTGTTGCTCTTGAGATGACTGATAGTGAGTTGAACAATTGAAAAACTTTTTAACAAACATTCCATTAGGAATGTAACTAACCCCATCCATGTCAAAACATTATGATTTTCAATTGACAATAGCTATAAAAAAAATGAAAAATGCAGTTGAAATAAAAGACATGCAATTGAGAAATAATATAATGAAATAGCTAATAAAGAATAGAGTGGACTAATTTTCATTAATTATATGAAATCAAAATGGAATCTAACAGATCTTTTGACAAAATCCCTAGGAAGAAATATGATGTTAAAAACATTTAGAGGAATGAGATTTAAGCTACTCGCAAACAAATTCAACCCTTGTGATTAGAGATCACATAAACAAGGTTCATATGGATAAAAATAATTCAATTGCGAGGTCTAATAACACTAAAGTGATTTTTAATCAATTATGTCTCTTTTTATGGTGTGTGAAAATGTCAGAGATTGCATTATCAACATATTAAACTTTGTAATTAAAATTCTATATAGTGTAAGAATTTTAGTTTAAACAAAGATTTTAATGATTTTCATATTCTTTAAGAGTGGTATATGATTTGTATTAAAATTTTGATTAAATGACCTGAGTATCGAGTGAGTATATTTATTTTGTTTTAGAGTTTATTACTAGTTTTGAATTTCTCAATAGAGACGTTTTTATTGTACCAGTAAATTTACATATACACTACATATAAATCTTTAAGATACCTTACATATAAGGATAATGACAATTCATATATTAGATAATTCATTTAAATGATGTTCTTATCAAATTTTATAACTTAAAACTAAAACAAGAGAATAAGATTATAGACTAAAACAAAAGAGTAAGATTACAGAGAAAAGACTTGGAAAAGAGAAGATGTATTTCTGTTTTTCTAAAACAACTTAATTTGTTGTTCTTTTAAAAATAACTGTTTTACATTTAAAAGAGTTTTACAAATAGTACTTTTTTATATGATAATAATATAACATTTAATTGTCATGGTATACTGTTTTTTATGATTTTATGTACAGAATATTTATTATTTCTTTAAATATCATCGTTATAAAAATAATTAACAAAATGTTCACATTATTATTTTAGACTGAACTAGAAGTAATCCGCGTGATCAATAAATCTAAATTAACTTCAATAGATTTTGCATTCGATGTTCAGGACATTTTCTTTTGTAAAACTTTCTTACATGGTAATTAAACTAGTTTTTGATAAGCTATGTTTCAGACTCATAAGCTAGTTTATCATAGGTTAAAAGTGTTTGGTAAAATAATAAGCCATTAATTATTAAATTATAATTTATGAATAAATCAATTTATTTAGATAAATTGACGTAATAAATATTAATTAAATTTACTTTTTATTATTTTTATAATTTTATTTTTTATTTATGAATTTAAATTATTGTTACAATAAATATATTTTTTTTAAATTTACATAGTGTGATCTTTGTATAATATAATTATTAAAAAAAGTTATTAAATAACAATTAATGTTAGAGATTATTGTAATGACTAATTTATAAATTAAAAAGTATTTACATTTAAAACAATTTTTATTATAAATAAAAAAATATTATTAATTTGTGAATTAAAGTTTTAATTTTTTTTAACATTAATCACAAAAACATTATTATCTAAATTGATTTATAAATTTTTGGAGATTTTTGTTATTAATGTTTATAAAAAAAGCAGGTGACAGTAATGTTAGTATTATATTATATTTATTTATAGGTTATAATAATATTAATAAATAAAAAGGATGGATGCGTGTGTTTAGCTTTAGTCGTGCATGCGTCAGTGGACAGCTCAGCAAACAGCACAGCTGGACTTAGCTGAAGCCAGCTGGCATGGTACGAATCCAAATACGGAGCCACCGTCGTAGCTTCTCTCTCTTTACTTCCTTTCGCTTTCAACAAACACTCTCAATCTTATTTACCTATTTTATGTACTCCTAACTAATTAATTATTCTTATTTTTTATTTTTAAATATAAAATAGTAATAAAAAAAATCTCGTCCTCTTCGAGGTTGGGACCATAACACGAGTGTACTGTATGCATCAAACTGACCAAAATACCCTGAAAACCTTCTCTATTTACAGTGTTACCCTTCCTTTGAATTTGAACGTTCGTTGACGATAATATTCTGTCAAAGGGTTTGTCGGTAATCCGGAAGTTGGAATAATAATTTAACTATAAAAAGAAAATGGTGAAAGTTTATTTAAAAAAGAAGAATATCATATTTTTAAATAAATACCGCGTGAATTTGAATAAATCTGTTTAAGATTTTTTGGTACGATATCGAATTTGAACATTAAATACTTTGTATGGAAGATGCAGAAAGAAATTAGTATCATCTATATTTGTTTTGGACAATTTTTTTTAATCTTAAATGAGTAGAAAATAATAAGACTCCATTAAATGATTTTTTATATTTATCTTCTTTTTATAAATATATTTATTTAAGAAGTATAAATTGTAATCATCCCAAAATTATATATCCCGTATTTTTATTTAAAAACAATAACTAATATGACATAAAATATAGTTTATTTTTCCTTTCTAGTTTTAAAAAAGTTACAAAGTCATGAAGTTCTCAGATATGTCATGAAAATCAGAATGAAGCACACGTGAATATTATGAATTCCTAACAGCACTTATTCTTATTTTAAATGATTTTTTTTGTTTGTTTGAATATATTTCGTATTTATACTTTATTTGTTTAAATGAAGAAATGACAATAAAAAATGTTTAAATTTTGTTTCTTAAAACTAACTTTTTTTTTCCTTTTCTTGTATGTACTTTTAATAGAAAAAATAACATATAATATTGGTTATTTTTTTTCTTTAACCAAATATAGTGTCAGCAGTGATCATCCTTTAAGCGAATTTGTCTTATATTAAAGATAAATGAGTGAAATTACATAAATCAATCATGATTATTTTTCATTATAGTATAGATAAATAATTTATGATTCATCCTTTTATTCACTTTGTAAACCACTTATATAGTACGTTAAATATAATAAACTAAACTATTAAATTTAAATGATTAAATTAGTATAACGTGAATGAGAAATCCAAGGTTGATTACTGGTAGTAGTTTTTAATTTAATTTTTAAGAGCATTGTTTGTCTATATTACAAATGATGAAACTGGTCAATGCGAGAACCGTGTCATAAACGGTTGTGTCATAAACGGTTTTTGAGTTTGTTGAAGGAATTCTGTTAGACAAAATAATGAAGCAGCGTGAAAATGTTAGTGTTATTTCATGTGACACCCTGTCGCAACAAAGTAATAATTTACTATAAAATTATACAATAAAAAAACAGAAAATTAAATTTGATCATGGTTTGAGAAATTTTAAATAAAAGTATTATTTTTTTAAAATTCATATTATAAAATCAATCAATAAATATACACATTAATGCCAATATTTAATTTTTTCTTTAACCTTTGTACGAAAGATTTTACTTAGCGTTTGTCTTTCGTCATTACCGACTTTGCGAAGCTATCAGAAATTTTTATTAATTTTTCTATTTTTTTATACTTAAAAAATCTCTCGAGTATTTAAAAATCTTACATCAATTTGTTTGCTACATTATAGTATATTTTTGAAGAGAAATTTCTGTAAATATTTTAAAAATATGAGACATTTAAGAAATTATTGAATGTTAACTATATCCGTTGGCAATTATTGAATGTAGTATTGTAATTACCGCGTGAATATTTACTATTTGTTTTGAGTGGTCATTAATAATCATTAATATCATATTAAAGCAGTAATTTAAATTATTTCGTCTTTTTAAGTTAAATATGACTGGATTATTTTTGTAATGATGATTATTTAAAGAAGAGAAGAAAAGCGAATGAGAAAGATACAGGCCAGAGCGGAAGTCAAAGTTGGAAAGAAGAGTTTGGAGGAGAAATCCGAAATTTTGGAAGGAATCAAGGACAAATATGTCATTTCCATGCCACATGTGTTCATTCTAATTGCTTAAATAGTGCTGCGAAGCCGCCGCGTCTCTCTTCTCTTTCTTTCTTTTCTTTCTTTCTTTTCTTTCTTTTCTTTCTTTCATTCATTCTCCACTTTTCCGGTAACCGTCGCCGGCGTCTGGTTGCCGAAGCGTAATGCTATCAGCTGCGGAGCTTGACTTGGTTTGCTTCGATTAGGTGGAGGAGAGGCAGACGACGTGCGTGTGGAAACGGCGACGTTTGGTGGGATGTAGTTTGGTTTGATTTGATCAGGGGGAATGGGGAGAGTGGTGGTGGGAGTAACGGTGGGTTTGGCGACGGTGGCGTGTGCAGTGGCGGCGGTGGCGGTTGGAGGGAGAATGAGGAGCAGGGGGAAATGGAAGAGAGTGGTGAGAGTGTTGAGGGAGGTTGAGGAAGGGTGTGAAAGTTCTGTTGAGAGGCTGAGGCAAGTGGTGGATGCTATGGCGATTGAGATGCACGCAGGGTTGGCTTCAGAAGGTGGTTCAAAGCTCAAAATGCTTCTCACCTATGTTCATAATCTCCCTGATGGGTAATCTAATCGTTAATTCCTTTCTGCATCATTCTCATTCAATCACACGCACTCGCTTTCTCATGTTTTCTTTGTGCCACTGGGAATGGTTTTGTTAACTTGTCAATGTTTGATTGGAGCATGTACACTTCTACAATAGTAGAATGTTTTCGGGTTCCTTTCCTGTCTTTTGTTATTATTATCATCATTGCTAATTGCTCCTACTGTAGCATTATTATTTCAATTTAGTGCTAAAAATTATCAATTCTTTTTTAGGTTAAATATGTCTTTGTATTATAATTATTTATTTGTTTTTAATCCTTATATTTAATAAAATAATGTATTTTTCATCTTTCGTCAACTAAAATAAAAACATGATTAACAAGAAATTAAAATTTCGTTATTTTGTTGAGTGTAGGTACTTAAAAGAGATAAATTTTGTATAAATACTAAAATAAAAAATCTTTTAGTACCGAAAATTGGGAACAAGTTGGCTTTTGTCTCCAACTTGAAAGAATTATTTTAATTTGTCAGAATTTTAAAAGTATGACTTTAATATCTAGAACTATAAGATGGAGATTGAAATTTTCAAAAATTCTGGCAGCGATATTTCATTACTTTTGTAAACACAGTTTGTCTTCAAACTAAAATCATGTATATTTTTAATTGGGGAGAGAAAGAAAAGATTATTTATAATTTCATTGAGTGAAACACAATTAATTGAAAGATACGATATTTTCAGGGGCTAAATATTTTTCTTTTTCTTTTTCTCTTTTATTTTATATATATATATATATATATATATATTTCATTGTATATCGTTTTGAAATATTAACATTTGTAAATGTCTCCCGCCCTTGACTTATGTGGTATTAGTATCCTTTGACATTGCTAGTATATTATGACCGATTTTTACTTTTAACTTTTGGACTTATTCTTCGGCAATTATTTCTTATAATTTTAGAATAGGTCAACTCAGGTTTTCAGTTCATATTATGGCATGATTTTAAAATTTTGGAAATGGTTCCTAAATTCTAAAATTATAAGAAAGAATTGCCGAAAGAAATGGTTCCTAAATTCTTGTGCATTACTAGAAGTCTGGGTCAAGATTTACCCATGGAATCTAGAAATGGTGCTATGAGCATCAAGTGTTCTTTTTTGCTATCATTTATTTAGTTAGAGAAGGTGATGTTACATGTTTACTTTTTCCGCTTATCATTTTATTTAGTTACAGAAGGTGATGTTTACATGTTATCAACATGTTTGATCATGACTTTTTAACTGATTTACACATTTAGTGTTGATTAGTATATTTGTCTGTATCCACATACATGTTTGATGATTGCATGGATTAAATACTGAGATGTTATATTCATATTATTCTTTGATCAGGACTGAGAAAGGGACATATTATGCACTACATCTTGGGGGTACAAATTTTAGGGTTTTGCGGGTTCATTTACACGATCAACAATCCTCTGTTTTGGAACATGAAGTAGAGCGACAAGCCATCCCTCAACATCTAATGACCAGCACAAGCAAGGTGACATAATCTTCTACCCTTGTGATGTTTCTCTGGCTTTCTCTTTTCTCTTTGGGGAAGGGGGTTCTTTTAATGTAGTAGAATGTAATTGATTTTTCTTCATGCAGGATCTCTTTGATTTCATTGCTTCATCTTTAATGGAATTCATCGAGAAAGAAGGAGACGGTTCTGAGCTTTCACTTGACAGAAGAAGGGAACTTGGATTCACATTTTCTTTCCCTGTGAAACAAACGTCAGTTTCTTCAGGCATTTTAATTAAATGGACAAAAGGTTTTTCCATTGTAGATATGGTTAGTCCTTCGGCTTTCAAGCAATTTCAAATGAGAAGCTTCTATTTAAACATTATGAAAAGAAGGGGTTTATGTTTATTATTCATGGTAGAACTTGATCACTAACTTTGTCTAGGCTTTGTTACTTTATAACTAACTTAGATGGCGAATCGTGTTTGTTTATTCAAAGAAGAGGGACTTAATTTTGTAGCACCTTTTATTTATATCGTTGCATTTATTTTTAGATCTGAAGTACCCTCTTTTTTTTAAGCAGTATCGATTATTGTTTGTGCACTTGCTTCGTCTTTCACAAGTTACAAAATAGATAGGTTAAATCATTCAAGTTACACTTGGTCGTTCAGTATAGTGAAGTAATTATCAAAAAGATTTGAGTAATTTAACAAATACTTTGTGCAAAAACTGTTTGCCTCAGGTAGGAGTAGATGTTCCTGCTTGTTTGCAGGAAGCATTGATACGAAAGGGACTAGACATGCGGGTTGCTGCCTTGGTAAGGAAGTCTTTCTTTGTCCTGATAATGATCATTTTAAATCGGGTTTATACCACCAAAATTTGTTTCTATCCTTTTTCTCACTCTTACGCAAGTTGGGTCAATTTCCCATATCACTTCTTCCTTTGATAAATTAGATTGTTCTAGGATGTACTTTATGTTCTTACAAGATACCTGAATTTTTTTAACTGTTAACCATTAGGTTAATATCTATGCTGCCACTCGTTTGGAGGTTTTACCGACGTATTCCTGGATGACTTTTTGGGTGATATGAGTCAACCATATATTATTTCATATAAGTTGTCTTTATGTGTTCTGCTTACTAGAAATTCACTTTTTTATGGTAATGAACCAAATAGGTTTCCCCCTGTTGTGTTTTAATTTAGAGATGGTTTTTAAGTCCCTAAAATTTATAAGTGTGCACTGTCATATATAATGAACCCTTTTGGCTTCGATGCGTTATTTGGAATATGATCTTGTGTTTATATTGATCAGGTCAATGATACTGTGGGAACACTGGCTCTTGGACATTATCATGACTCAGATACAGTTGCTTCCGTGATAATTGGCACCGGTACCAATGCTTGCTATTTGGAACGGGTTGATGCTATTATAAAGTGTCAAGGTCATCTTACATCATCAGGATACATGGTATTATTACTCTTGCTTTTTATTTTCACTTTCATTTATTGTTTTGTACTTATTATAATTCTTTCATCACGATATATGGTATTCCTTTTGCTTTTCATTTTCACTTTCTTTTATTGTTTTGTACTTATTATAACCCGTCCCGTTTATTAGGTTGTAAATATGGAATGGGGAAATTTTTGGTCATCTCATTTACCAAGAACATCATATGATATTGATTTAGACTCCGAAAGCCCTAATCCAAATGAACAGGTTGGTTCTGCTGCTCATGAATCCTCTTGCTTGATTCAAGATGACTCACAAGATTTTGGTAATCTTGATGTAGGGTTTTGAGAAAATGATATCAGGAATGTATCTTGGTGACATTGTGAGGAGAGTCATTTTAAGGATGTCGCTAGAGTCAGATATGTTTGGACCTGTTTCTTCCAAGCTTAATATGCCCTTTACGCTGAGGTGTGTATCGTATCCATCTTTGCTCGATCAACTAACTCTACGCTCTTGATAAGTGGTTAATCAATTATTCATTTATTTTTCTTCTCCCAATCATATGTGGTTGATCTATTATATAAACTAGAAAAGTGAATTTGCTATGTATTATCGCAGAGGTGGAGGGATCAATTCAGTTGACATTCTCAAGTTTTGTTTTCATTTCTGGAACGGACTTCACATTGACAACTTTAAATGTTCCTTGTGCTATTTCAGGACTCCTATGATGGCTGCTATGCACGAGGATGATTCTCCCGACTTGAGAGAAGTAGCAAGAATCCTCAGAGACATCCTTGAGGTAAACAAATCTGACATGACACCATATATTTTGTCCTGAAAAACCCTCTAAATCTAACAATCATTCCATATGGTTGGGTTGTGCGGTCTCAGATTCCTGATGTTCCTTTGAAGTTAAGAAAAGTTGTGGTGAAGGTTTGTGATGTGGTGACTCGCAGAGCTGCACGATTGGCAGCTGCTGGTATTGTTGGTATCTTGAAGAAGATTGGTAGGGATGGAAGTGGTGGCATCATAAGTGGACGTAGAAGTGATGTGAAAATGAAAAGAACAGTTGTTGCAATTGAAGGAGGTTTATATTCTAGTTATACATTGTTTAGGGAGTATTTGTATGAAGCTTTGAACGAAATATTGGGGGAAGATATTGCCAAGCATGTAATTCTTAAGGTCACTGAAGATGGATCAGGCGTTGGAGCAGCGCTGCTTGCTGCCTCGCATTCATTCCTATGATGTGGATACAGTAGGACTTGCTATAAGTATATACATATATTCTATATGTATACATATAATTCTGTAAATCAGAAGGAAAATTTTCCCTCTTTTAAATCTGTGTAAAGGAAGGTTGTGTCTATTCTTTGTTAAGATGAATCAGTATTATTCTTGTCAATTGTTTATTATTAGATGATTAATGGCTTAGGGAGTGTTTGGAAATGTTTGTTTATTAAATAGACGTTAATTTTTCAAGAATTTGTTTATTAAATACAAATAAATAAGTGTTGTTTCTTATGTTATGAAATTCACCAAAGGATTTGCGTTTATTACTACTTTGTTGCTTCTGGCTTGCCACAATGCAGTTTCTGAAATTATTACGAGTGATTTTAAAATAATTTGATAATTTGAGAATCCAATTTTTATGAGCATTAACCATAATAGAAAGTCCAATTTTGCTATTAAGTATATAAATGAAATTATGTTACAAAGCTATTAAGTATATGAATAGCAGTTGTTGCGATAGAAACGATTTTGCAAAACGATAATTTCAATTTATATTTTTCAAACGATAATTTATATTTTTGGTGTGCATTTTTCTTTTACCCATGTTTTCTAATTATTATTACAAGTACTTTTGTTTTCGGTAACTTTCTGAAATTTTACAAATTTCAGAAATATTATAATAATAATTTGCAGGATGTCAAAACCGGTAGCTTATTTTAAGTTTATTTTTCCTTCTAAAATAGTATAATCAATTTTAAATTTGGAACAACTTGTCTACACTTATTTTCATTTTATTTTCTTTCAAGGAAAGTTCCTGAAGTATAAATTCTAAAATATGGTATGACAAGAAAGCACTTATTGATATAAATGCTATTCACAATTATAAGCCTAAGCAGCTAAGAGATTCTGGTATATTTTATAAGTATAAACCTCTACACACAATCCAAATCCAAAATCCTAATTTGATTAACAGAATGAGTTTTTTTTACTAAACTTAATTAATTGAATTGTAGCAGTTGTTGTCGCATGAATATCAAGAGTATGATCACAGAAAAGAAGGACATTCACAAATAACAGAACCTTTTAACCTTTGATTGTAAAGAAAAGAAAGGAACATACAATACAATGATTGGTAAATGATAAAAATATAAAAACAGGCTCCTCAGAAAAGGACACCTAAAAAAACAACTGTGGCTTCATCTTTTCTCCCACTAGATTCATCAATTTCCAGATTTGTACAACTTCTCAACCGTCTTCCTGTATTCTGTAAAACACAACACATCACAACACAAACAAACTTTTATTAGAGACATGCAAAATCCTCAAAAGTTAAAAGTTTCAAATATAGATATCAATGTTGTCGTCACCTTCTTGATTGCTCCATAGCTGTGCTGCTTGTGGGTTTAGTGGTGAACTAATGTTTGGCTCTAAGTTTAACAAAAACAAAAGTTAGAAGAAGAAAAAAAAATAATGAGTAAGCATTAATTAACCATTAAGAGACTTCTTAAGTTACCTCCAAGCAGACTTTGGATGGATATAAGAATTGTTCTGACATCATATGCAGATGACCATTTATCCTACATAAGCAAAGTAAAACAATAAAAAACACACATCAAAATATAATGGCAATTCAAGAACACAATTAATGCTTAATCTTCATTACAAAATGTCACATCACATCAAATCACCTGGAGTATGTCTAAGCATATATTGCCATGCACATCAACATTGGGGTGGAAGCAGGTTGTTTCAAACTTGACTTTTGGAGGCTTAAAAGGGTAATCATTGGGAAAAGAGAGAGACAGCTTATACTCTGTGCCTTCAAACACAGTATCTTTGCTTCCACTGATTGTTCCTTTCCAGAAAAATATGTTGTCCTCTTCAGGAAATGCAGATATCCCAGAATCTCCACTCATCTAACACAATTAACCCACAAAACCAAAAAACAATCAGACATTTTCCCAACATTCAAATCACCCAATTATATGCGTGTATGTGTGTTTTTCTTACCATCAAAGCCATCAATTCAGATTGCAGCCTGTTTAACAACACAAAACAAAAAACATTAGATCATAAAGAGTAAAGGCAATGGAACAAAACATCAACTTGATCTCTCAAATACTACTCTACCTCCTATACTATTGATTCTAGAGTAATTAAATTAAATCATATACATAATTCTGAGTATTGGTTATCTATCTGATTAGTCTCCAAGTTGGAATCTTTTATCAACATTCTGTATCAGTTTGATGAGTTACTTGCCATGAGTTTTAATTCTTGAAAGATTATTTATGAATCTATTTGATACTCACTACAGAACACTACAAGAAGAAATTTAAGGTATATTCTAAACAGTAACATAACAAAAGAGAGAAAACAAGAAGAATGAAAAAGAACCTTCTGAGAACAGATTGAGAATCAACTGTCTTGGCAGGAGGGAGAGGCTGCTTTGAGGAAGCAATGTTGTTGGGTTGAGCAGATTCATTGTTTCCATGAATGGTGTTAGTAGCCATATTGAGAGAATGGAATGAATAAAAAGAATAAATAAATAACCCTTGATTTGCAGAAAGAAGAAGATGAAGGAAGACAGAGATAGCAGTGTTCTCAATATAAATCTTCCTTCTTGCAAAGGGTTATGAGAAGAAGAAGTTGTGATGACTATTGAATGAGAAAAGGTGCGACTTTAAAGGTTGTACTAGCCGTTGGGAATTTCACCAAACCCTACATGCACAATAGTTCAGTAGTTCAAATTTAAACGTTGAGTGGCACAAAAGATCAGAACCCAACGGCTAGTACTAACTAAACCCTACTTTCTTTTCCTTTTGGGTCCACATTTAATTTTTTTTATGACACCTTCGTTATATATAATTTTTTGAAAGGAAGATATATATTATCATAATTGAAATTGATTGTTTGGTGCAGACAAATCTATAGTAATGTAATGTTGACTAAAAAGGAGACAAAGAAAGGGAAAAAACACTAATTTGTTTGCTTTGGTTCATATGAAACTTTTCTCTCTTCCAAGCTTTCTTATATGGTCACCAAAATCAAGCAAGAAGTGATTTTAGTTTTTTTTTCTTTTCCGTTATCTCCAAAGCAACATTACGCATGCTTGTAAACTTTCTTTTTGTCAATTTAAAAAATAAAAAATTTATTACTATAATAATTATTAAAATAAAAAACATATACATTAAAATGAAAAAAATTCATAAAAATATTACAAAATAAATAATTTGTATAATTTTATTGTTAATTAAGGGTAAATAGTTGAATTTAAAATATCAGTTACAAGAGTAAAATAGTAAAGAATTGTGTAGACAAAAATATCCTTGAAAGGAAAATTTCCATTTATTAATGTTATATATTAAGAATTAAAAAAAACTAATTATAAAATAAATACCACGACCACTGTAAAATGTTTGTTATAACAGTTTGTTTCTCCACCTGCCAAAAAAATAAGTCATTTTTATAAATACTTGTTCTATATTATTTTTATATATATATTTTTTTATTATTATTGTAACGGTCAAATGTCCATAATAGTCAAATAAAATATGAAGAGTTGATAAATCAAATTTGTTTAAATAAGAGGTGAATCACATTTTAAAAATTTTATTTTGACATTATTTAATATATCATCACATCACAAAATGTAAGACTTGCCTGTGTTTATATGTAACAGCAAAGATTAGCGTGATATGATCTTTGCACTGCTAATGACTATGAAAATTGATACTATTTATCACATGTTTAAATAATATTTTAAATACAACAATATTAGAAGAGCTAGACTTTTTCTTTTTTTTGTAAAGTTACACAAGCAGACATTCTTGAATTTTTATGTGTTAAGTGTCACACTCAAACATTATAGATCCAAGAGCCTACATAACCAAATTTAAATATGAAAAGAATAAAGTACAATTACAATTGATATGGATCAAAGAACAAATTAAAATTTGGATATGAAAAGTGAATGTTTTCGTAGGAACATAATTTCTTTTAGGAATGATGATAAATTCTATATATTCAAATTCATAGAGCCACGTACCAATGAAACATAAAGCGATTTTTAAGCCAACAGTAGAACAAGTAAATTACTTTAATGATTATAATAGACTAGATGCAAATGGTTCTTTAACAATGTGCTAGGAAGCAAAGGCTCAATTTATAATACAGACATAGTTTACAACAATCATGTAAGAATAACAATTTATTAACAGATTTAACCTATCAATTCAATCCAAAATTAACAAACAAACAAATATTAGTGCTTAGTTCAAACTACAAGTAAAATTGTATAAAGGGTATTTCGGAATCAGCATGTTAATCTATCCCTGTAGAACTCTGGTGAAGAAGAACGCGAAAAGAACTCCCCCTTTCGTCCAATGCTTCAATTTTCACCAAGACAACGAACGACAAAACCAGCAGAGAAATCTTTACAGAGCAAGATTCTATTTACTATCTGCCACGATCAATATAAAATCTATACTGAGATCTTCTATGATTTATATACTCCATTCCTTTAAAAGAGTTTGACAAGACATTAGTGAAATCAGTTTAAGTGAAGACAAGACCCTACATTAAAGAATGCTACAATGAATGTTGATGGGTTAGAATAACAATCATGAATGCAATTGATGTATGAACTCTACTATGTCCAGATTACAATCATCTTCAGCCTTTAGAGCTACATGCTTGTTTCGTTATTCATCTTTCCATTTCCACAACCGTTTGTTAAAATAGAAGGCAATTGAGCAGAAGCTTGATCAACGCATTCGATCATTCTCCTACATTGAACCTGTCTAAGGACAATTCTTTTTATCTTAAAATAATCATTTGCCTCCCTGCAGGAAAAGAAAAACAACCATACAAGAAGCTGGCATCTGAAGTCCTGCCATGACTTTTTTCAGTGCAGATCATCAAACCTGCAATGAAGATAAATAAGCATAAGAATCTTGCAGATACTGACTTGTATCAAACATAAAAATCCTTTTGTTTAGTAGGATGAGGTCACTTGACAAACAATAGAAACATAAAAAGTTGGTCAATGTACAACAACCAATTGAATAGGACACTCGCTGGAGACAATATAACTTGTCTATAGGATACCACAAAATCAGAGAAAAGTTTGTTTCAAAGCATATAAGTTAAGAAATCGAACACAACCTTAGGAATTTTATTTTGAAAGGGCAAGGGTAATACCACTTCTCACTTGCTGATTCAATTGTTACA